GATCCTATTATTTGTTCATAATATTTCACCATTTTCCATTGTGTCAATCAAAATTTTCCATTTCTTCGAAGAAAAGAAATTACAATGAGTTAAAAAATTTTTCTTTCTCACAAAATTAATAATTCTCCCAAAGAAAATCCGACTGGAAGTGCTAAGATCGTGGCAGACATCCAAAACAGGACTCAACCGAAACCTAACACCCCGATCTATCAGCCCATGACCTAGCCAATATCCGAACCTCTAAATCCCACACTCGATCAATCGATTTAACCTACTTCCACGTAATCCACCGTGCTCGTGTTTCAACGATCCGCTTCAGACCTGCGTAAGCTTACCTACGACTCGTGTTCGTCGTAAGCGATTACCACGGGCAGGTGCAATGATGCAAAGAGTTTCGATTTGCAAGCTCCGCCGATACAGTCGAGTTACAGGTAGCGAGCAATCGGGTCGAAGTGACGCAACTTCGAGGATCAGGTCGTGGCAAAGACATTAATTGCGCAACGTGGAGCGTGTCTCTGTGAGCAGATTGAACGATGACGTTCAATTTTAAAGTACTGCTGTTATTATTGTAGCATCGCGTAAGAACCTTAAACGGAAAAGGGCCATGAAAGAGAAAGCGGGTGAAAGCGGACAAGACGAAAACCAGACCCATCGTGAAAACGAACGATCCATTGATGGCTGTGCGATATTTTCGAGGATCGGAGGAGTGGGGGTAGTTTTTGAGGATAATTAGGGAAAGCGGGACGAGCTTTTGGAGGGAGGAGTGTTATGCGAAGCTTGGTAGCGAGAGAACGAAAGAAATCGTGAAGAGAGTCGTTTAGGGTTGTTTTCTGCTATATTTTATTTTTATGCAATTATTTTTATTTAACCTTATTTTCAACTATATACAATGATTCACGAAAGTATTCGCCAATATATTTCAAAAGAATTTTAATGAAGATTTGCATGTATTGTACACATGTACGTAAAGCATAACGAGTTACACATAGAGTGATTTATTTATCAGTGGAAGATGACACTGACAGGAGTAAAATCACGAATTGAAGTCTTTTAACAATTCTTCTGCTCTCGAAACGAGATTTCACACGGAGGAATTTTCACTATAGGGCGTCTGAGCAGTAAAAATTAAACATCTTTTATTTGGAAAGCTTCTCTCTATCTTGTATCATTATACAATTACATTTATAGGAGATAATCGGGTTGTAGGTTTGAGCGATGATTTCATCTACATACGTGACGTGATATCTGGAAATAACATAAGAGTCATCCACCTGTAACTTGGTATACTTTACCTACACGCCTATTTTCAATAAAATGGAAATTTTTACAATTTTTGAGCATTCGAATGATTTATTGAGTCACTATATATATATATAGATCCTATATTATTAATTATAAAATAGATATACCAAGTTAATAATTAATATATTAATAATTGTATATAATTATACCTACACTGTATTTCTGTTTCTCTAATATTCTACTCTATCCTCTCTCTCTCTCCCTCTCTTTGCTTGCCGTGTAGTCTCCCTTTCCCATAACAATCACGGAACATCCGACCATAAGACTGTCCTCTCGCACATGAAACAAATATCCTCGCACTAGGTATCAACACTCACGCCATCGCTCTACCATACGCATTCGCATTCATACCTCACCATCTCTCACTCGTGAAAGCAATCCCACAGCGAGGGGGCCAGGTACAATGGCGATAGGGTGCATCGCTACTTGGGCCCTATCGGTCTTATTTCGATCGAACAAACCCGAGAAACCGAGAATGCTATAAATAAGTCGATGGATAGTGATGTGTAGGTCTCGATCGAGTTCGCCTCCTCAGGGACGAATTTATTAACACGCTTCTGATGGCGTATATCGTGGGACGAGTCGGAGCAGTCGTCCCTCGAGTTTCGCATGTTTTGGAGATGCGTGAAATGTGTTTATGTTTGTGCAAGCCAATGTAAATATCCTGTGCAGTGAAATATTTTGTTATATTCGTGTGTACGTCTGCTCGAGCCAATGTAAATATTTTGTTAAAATTCGCATACTTGAGGTATGCGTGTGAATTTATCGTCTGGTGGCTAGAATTTCAGTCATTTTGGGAAAAATAAAATGAAAAATTCGCTTCTTCCTTTGATATTGTCATTATCGAAAATCATAGCTATATTATCAAGACTCCTGTCTTTGCAATTATAAGATAGGATTAATTTTACGTAGATCAACCCTAATTTAAATTAATTCGTATTAACCCTCTGCATCCCCGATTTTACAATTTTCTTTTCGACAGAAAATTTATTTTAGGTATATTTGGTATTTTATTTTTGATATACCTTAAAAGACAGTCGGTTGATATTGATAAACTTAAACAAATTTTATTTTCCCAGTGAAGTCGACGTGAAATTACAATTAACAATAAATTTCCAAGTACTAAGATAATCAAATTTAGGAAACAGTTTATAATATTAAATTGAATTTTGGAAAGTTGTTCGAATGCAATTTTGAGACGCTCGTTTGAAATGCAGGATATTTAAAGGAAACGCGACAACTTCGTAAAGTAAAAGCGAGTGAAAAATTATGGTGTCGTGTAACGAGAAGCAAATAGCATTGCACGTGGGAAACCGAGAGTCCCATTGCGCCTACTCAGAAGTCGAATTGCATTCTTTTAATTTTATACCCGTCTTCAATTTTCGTTTCATGATAATTTAAAAGGCAGTTTACCAAACTCGTAATATCGACTTTCACCGTGCTGATTTATCGATGTGCGTGTTTCGTAAAGATGAATTTTACCGAGAAAAAAGAAATCAACGGGCCTCGTTACCCTTTTTCCACGTTTTCTCGCATCTCTGTCACATATGAGCAGCGCGCCAGGGCCATTTCCGAGATAATAAAAGTGGCACTGTTTCGCCATGGGATATTCAACCGAACTGGATATTTATCTTCTTCAAAGGTCGTATTTAAAATTAAGGAGTTAATAAGCATGAAATTCCCGTCCATAGGGGAAATTGCTAGGAGCATAAATCTAATTTAATATCGTTACGTGCTACCAGGAATATCGCAGATGCTACTTCCGACATTCGCGTTTTGCGCTATTCTATCCAAGTGGTATTTCAAGTAGCTTTTGCACGTGAGTGGACAAGTTAGACGATACCACTCACCGATGCACACCTTTCCCCACGGATGAAAGTATGAAACGAGGGTTACGATTCTTAATAGCGTGGAATCCCGTGAACTGTACGACCGTCTGCGAATATAAAATTGCTGAAGAGGAGAAAGGCGTCGTTAGAAATATCAACCAGAATGAAATTCTTCCTGGTGAATGTCGATTAATATGTAGCCCCGATCTCGGCGTTACATGATTTCCTGAGATACATCTGTCGAAGGTAGTTCGAAACTTCGCTCCGGAATTGTTAGTGCTGGATGAAATATCAATAACAATAAGAACAATTCTTTATTTAATTACAAAAAATAATCAAACTCAAATATCAAGTATTATTAATTTAATTAATTTCTCGCAATCACATGCTCACACCTATTTTCACTATTACAACTCAATTACAACTGACCTATGCCCAATCTCTCTGGTTTGTTCTTCCTACTTTCATACATTACATGACATACACAATTCACACACACCTCAATCGTTACACGTATACTCATTTATTACGATAATCTGAATCCATTAGATATTGGCATTGCTTCTTTATTATATCGTCATATGTATATTGAAAATTTATGTTCTCCAATACCACAGGGACTTCGATTAGTATACCTGCAATCGAGTTCTTTGTCTTTTATGGGATTTGAAATGATATATCGATAGGAGGAGTTATATATTCGATAGAAAAGGTTAAATTATATATTTATATAATTTTATATATTTTGTAGACTTGTGAAAATTATTCGTGGGTTACTCGAATTTATATATTTTTTGGTATTACTGTTATATTATTGGAATATTCATTGTAATATTCCTACGATATAATTTCATATTAATTATAATTAACTGTAATTTTAAGTATAATTATACTGTGAAATTTTTATTTATAATTAATCGTAATAATTGCAGTATTAATATAATAATTAAACTGGTGATTTAAATTTCTGTAATATTACGTTACATTTTAATTATTAAATGTCACATAAATATGGTATTGATATGCAAATTGAAAATTCTGGAAAGATTTTGTCATTTTGCATGTAAAATTATCAGAAGCGTAATAATTGTGGGAAATACACATGTGTTCCGATCGATTATGCAAATTATGAAATCGTGTTAACCTCTGTAAAGCATTGTGATTACGTTGAGTTAAAAATAATCTATTACGATATTCATACCTCGTTGCCGTTTAAACTGAGAAATAAAGCGTGACTCGATCGTAAACTATCCGTGAGATTCCTAAATGAGTCATGAAAATAGTAACTTTTGTTCTCATGAACAATAATCTACGAAGAAAATGAACTGTTTATATAGGATTAGTTAAAGCAACTATTGATTTTCATTGGTTAAAAAGGATTTATCAATTACTGTAATAGAAATTATTATAATATATTCCAGAACGTTGAATTTTTCTCATAAATTATTGGTGAAAAATACAAAAATGTATCGACTAATTATGCAATGGAAAAGACACTACTGTAATTAAAACGAATACAACAATTTAAATTTTCACTCTTAATATTTAACCCCTTCCGGAGTAAGTGTCTCGATAGTCTTAAAATGAATTTCCACTTAACTCACTAGCGCCACCACGGCTCATATCTCCGATAAATACATCGTTAAATTATTTTCTAATTTTATCGATGTAATTTCAGAATTTTCTTCTTACTATGTGCATCATATTCTTTGTATAATATTGTTTTCACATATTTTTTTACACTTGTACAACCGTACTCGTGAAATATTTAATATTTAATTACTAATTTTTACCTTACCTACTACGTCATTACTCTTATACATATTTTTTAATTTTCTGATACTAATATAAACTCTATTCTTGTTCCAGAAGGAGTGCAAACTGATTCTAGTCCAAGTGGAATCCATTATCCAAACAGACATCGTGTCTTCGCAGTAAAGGTACAGTTTTCACGTATTCTTTCAATTTCTATCATATCATTTATATTTCACGTTATACTTAACTCCTTTTACATACTTTCTCTTCTTTCTTACATCTCTCCTCCATTATCTTAAGTAAAATTCTCTGAATAAAAATAATCGAATATAACCCTATATATCCGGTCATCATTGAATTCTCTGCAAATGGTATTAAACACCATAGAGTCTTAGAACAAAGTACGAGATAAGTAAGAGATAAATATTTATTTATTGACTATACTCATTTGATTACATTCATCCTAAGTGACACAAACAGTTTATGGTTATCGTATTTATTCGCATAAAGCTGTTTTCTCGATCATCGCACAGCAACATACCTCCATATTGAAATTTCTTAAGTGTTACCGTGACACGAAAGTTATATCACATGCTATTCAAACAAAATTTCTATCTTCTCTTTCCAACTTCGTTAATTTCAAAGACAATAGCAGCTGCGTTCTGCTTAGACCTTGTTTAATACTCGTATCGTCTTTCTCGTTTGAATATCTCCATACTTCCTAGAAGGATTAAACCCTTTTAAAGTCTCCAATAATCGGTTTTATCGTACGAGGAATGCATCCGGTCTCGGAGCTATCTTAAACGCGATTCTTTACTTTCTACTTGCTGCATAGCGATTCTCGGAACGAAGAATGCAATTTGCCAATGAGCCACATCGGATCATTTCCAAATTCGGAAATAAGAGAAAATACCATAAGGAAAATTTTCCTCTAATTCGCCAGTTTTAACCCTTTCGGTACGGAGGAGCTGGCCGTGGTTATAGATTCGTGGTACGAGGAAGTTTTCCACAAGAGTGGTTGCACTGGAAGCCACGAAATCGTGTTTTGCGGTATTCATAGAAATTTCGAGCGTGATTGACGCTAAACTTTTCATTCGGATCGCGATAGTCATCGGTGACGTTTCGCGGATGTCGCGAATAGGCGACGGTAGTACCCAGAGAACGTTTCATGGTCGTCGCCAATGTCAGTAGTACCGAAATGGTTAAAGGTATTAACACCGAGATATTATGCGTAATCTTTCGAATTCGATCGTAAAGCGTTACGAGTGATTTACACGCCGATTTCTCTTTGTTCGAGTACTTAGCGTCGATGTGAAGACACGTCGAGATCGATGTGACTTGCTGGATCGGTTGACACGTAAGAGTTACAAAATGTTTTTATTGGTCGGTTCGTGGTGGTGGAAGTGATAGTAGGAATCAATGGGAGGGAACACAGTGATGCGGGGGTGAGGATGGATGGGTATTTTGGGTGCTGGAGAAAGTCGCATAATGCATTTTACCGTTTTTCGTTGACATGTAACAGGTCGTTACGTGAGTGCCATGAATTGTAAATGTGGCTATTATGCAAAACCGGTGATTCACACTTACAATGGCTTAATAATAGGTCTTGACGCAGGTAGACGTACTTAGAAATTGCTGTGTAAGTCTTCGCTGGAATCTTGGACGCTGATGTTTTGAATTTTTGATGATCTATTGCTTTGAGTCTTTGAATCCTCGGATCTTGAACCCCTTAGATCTTTAAATCTTCGAGACTTTGAATGTTTGGATCTTTAAATTTCTAAGTCTTCGAATCTTTGAGTACTTGGATCTTTGAATTTTTCAATTTTTCAATCTGCAAACCTTTAGATCTTTGAAGCTCTGAATACATGGATCTTTGAATTTTCTTTTCTGTCGCTTTGAGTCTTGGAGCCCTTGGATCTTTAAACCTCTTAAGTCTTCGAATCTTTGAGTACTTGGATCTTTGAATTTTCGAATTTTGAAATTTGTAAACCTTTAGATCTTTGAAGCTCTGAATCCTTGCATCTATGAATTTTCTTTTCTGTCGCTTTGAGTCTTGGAGTCTTGGAATCCTCGGATCTTTAAACCTCTTAAGTCTTCGAATCTTTGAGTACTTGGATCTTTGAATTTTCGAATTTTGAAATTTGTAAACCTTTAGATCTTTGAAGCTCTGAATCCTTGCATCTATGAATTTTCTTTTCTGTCGCTTTGAGTCTTGGAGTCTTGGAATCCTCGGATCTTTAAACCTCTTAAGTCTTCGAATCTTTGAGTACTTGGATCTTTGAATTTTCGAATTTTGAAATTTGTAAACCTTTAGATCTTTGAAGCTCTGAATCCTTGCATCTATGAATTTTCTTTTCTGTCGCTTTGAGTCTTGGAGTCTTGGAATCCTCGGATCTTTAAACCTCTTAAGTCTTCGAATCTTTGAGTACTTGGATCTTTGAATTTTCGAATTTTGAAATTTGTAAACCTTTAGATCTTTGAAGCTCTGAATCCTTGCATCTATGAATTTTCTTTTCTGTCGCTTTGAGTCTTGGAGTCTTGGAATCCTCGGATCTTTAAACCTCTTAAGTCTTCGAATCTTTGAGTACTTGGATCTTTGAATTTTCGAATTTTGAAATTTGTAAACCTTTAGATCTTTGAAGCTCTGAATCCTTGCATCTATGAATTTTCTTTTCTGTCGCTTTGAGTCTTGGAGTCTTGGAATCCTCGGATCTTTAAACCTCTTAAGTCTTCGAATCTTTGAGTACTTGGATCTTTGAATTTTCGAATTTTGAAATTTGTAAACCTTTAGATCTTTGAAGCTCTGAATCCTTGCATCTATGAATTTTCTTTTCTGTCGCTTTGAGTCTTGGAGTCTTGGAATCCTCGGATCTTTAAACCTCTTAAGTCTTCGAATCTTTGAGTACTTGGATCTTTGAATTTTCGAATTTTGAAATTTGTAAACCTTTAGATCTTTGAAGCTCTGAATCCTTGCATCTATGAATTTTCTTTTCTGTCGCTTTGAGTCTTGGAGTCTTGGAATCCTCGGATCTTTAAACCTCTTAAGTCTTCGAATCTTTGAGTACTTGGATCTTTGAATTTTCGAATTTTGAAATTTGTAAACCTTTAGATCTTTGAAGCTCTGAATCCTTGCATCTATGAATTTTCTTTTCTGTCGCTTTGAGTCTTGGAGTCTTGGAATCCTCGGATCTTTAAACCTCTTAAGTCTTCGAATCTTTGAGTACTTGGATCTTTGAATTTTCGAATTTTGAAATTTGTAAACCTTTAGATCTTTGAAGCTCTGAATCCTTGCATCTATGAATTTTCTTTTCTGTCGCTTTGAGTCTTGGAGTCTTGGAATCCTCGGATCTTTAAACCTCTTAAGTCTTCGAATCTTTGAGTACTTGGATCTTTGAATTTTCGAATTTTGAAATTTGTAAACCTTTAGATCTTTGAAGCTCTGAATCCTTGCATCTATGAATTTTCTTTTCTGTCGCTTTGAGTCTTGGAGTCTTGGAATCCTCGGATCTTTAAACCTCTTAAGTCTTCGAATCTTTGAGTACTTGGATCTTTGAATTTTCGAATTTTGAAATTTGTAAACCTTTAGATCTTTGAAGCTCTGAATCCTTGCATCTATGAATTTTCTTTTCTGTCGCTTTGAGTCTTGGAGTCTTGGAATCCTCGGATCTTTAAACCTCTTAAGTCTTCGAATCTTTGAGTACTTGGATCTTTGAATTTTCGAATTTTGAAATTTGTAAACCTTTAGATCTTTGAAGCTCTGAATCCTTGCATCTATGAATTTTCTTTTCTGTCGCTTTGAGTCTTGGAGTCTTGGAATCCTCGGATCTTTAAACCTCTTAAGTCTTCGAATCTTTGAGTACTTGGATCTTTGAATTTTCGAATTTTGAAATTTGTAAACCTTTAGATCTTTGAAGCTCTGAATCCTTGCATCTATGAATTTTCTTTTCTGTCGCTTTGAGTCTTGGAGTCTTGGAATCCTCGGATCTTTAAACCTCTTAAGTCTTCGAATCTTTGAGTACTTGGATCTTTGAATTTTCGAATTTTGAAATTTGTAAACCTTTAGATCTTTGAAGCTCTGAATCCTTGCATCTATGAATTTTCTTTTCTGTCGCTTTGAGTCTTGGAGTCTTGGAATCCTCGGATCTTTAAACCTCTTAAGTCTTCGAATCTTTGAGTACTTGGATCTTTGAATTTTCGAATTTTGAAATTTGTAAACCTTTAGATCTTTGAAGCTCTGAATCCTTGCATCTATGAATTTTCTTTTCTGTCGCTTTGAGTCTTGGAGTCTTGGAATCCTCGGATCTTTAAACCTCTTAAGTCTTCGAATCTTTGAGTACTTGGATCTTTGAATTTTCGAATTTTGAAATTTGTAAACCTTTAGATCTTTGAAGCTCTGAATCCTTGCATCTATGAATTTTCTTTTCTGTCGCTTTGAGTCTTGGAGTCTTGGAATCCTCGGATCTTTAAACCTCTTAAGTCTTCGAATCTTTGAGTACTTGGATCTTTGAATTTTCGAATTTTGAAATTTGTAAACCTTTAGATCTTTGAAGCTCTGAATCCTTGCATCTATGAATTTTCTTTTCTGTCGCTTTGAGTCTTGGAGTCTTGGAATCCTCGGATCTTTAAACCTCTTAAGTCTTCGAATCTTTGAGTACTTGGATCTTTGAATTTTCGAATTTTGAAATTTGTAAACCTTTAGATCTTTGAAGCTCTGAATCCTTGCATCTATGAATTTTCTTTTCTGTCGCTTTGAGTCTTGGAGTCTTGGAATCCTCGGATCTTTAAACCTCTTAAGTCTTCGAATCTTTGAGTACTTGGATCTTTGAATTTTCGAATTTTGAAATTTGTAAACCTTTAGATCTTTGAAGCTCTGAATCCTTGCATCTATGAATTTTCTTTTCTGTCGCTTTGAGTCTTGGAGTCTTGGAATCCTCGGATCTTTAAACCTCTTAAGTCTTCGAATCTTTGAGTACTTGGATCTTTGAATTTTCGAATTTTGAAATTTGTAAACCTTTAGATCTTTGAAGCTCTGAATCCTTGCATCTATGAATTTTCTTTTCTGTCGCTTTGAGTCTTGGAGTCTTGGAATCCTCGGATCTTTAAACCTCTTAAGTCTTCGAATCTTTGAGTACTTGGATCTTTGAATTTTCGAATTTTGAAATTTGTAAACCTTTAGATCTTTGAAGCTCTGAATCCTTGCATCTATGAATTTTCTTTTCTGTCGCTTTGAGTCTTGGAGTCTTGGAATCCTCGGATCTTTAAACCTCTTAAGTCTTCGAATCTTTGAGTACTTGGATCTTTGAATTTTCGAATTTTGAAATTTGTAAACCTTTAGATCTTTGAAGCTCTGAATCCTTGCATCTATGAATTTTCTTTTCTGTCGCTTTGAGTCTTGGAGTCTTGGAATCCTCGGATCTTTAAAC